GAACTGCTTGGAAGGCAGCTAAGCTCACCACTATACCACCAATGCAGCTGGCAAAATTATTTTCTCCTGGGTCTCACATGTACTAGGAAAAGGGTTGGATACTGCATGGACATAGCATTGGCCACCTGTCAGGCCTTAGACCTGTTGATAAATGAGCAGAAATCAACATTACTTCCGGGTGGAACTGGAAGCATTTCACACAATGCAACCATGGTGTCTTCAATCTCTTACTTAGCAGCCTAAATTTGCCTTCCAGGACCTCTCTCCTATCTCTCCCTATATCATTCATACCTACATGTACCATGACAACTGGCTCCTCCCTAGCACTTTGTTTCACGGGATTTTTCAATGGCCCTTGTTTGCTGTTGGCCCTGTCATCTCTGTGTGAAAAGCTGGATCCCGCACTGCTCTCCAATGCTCCGCTAACTGTCATTAACACATCCCGAATGGCAGTGCCATTATTCGTGAAGCTCCTAACTCAACAGGATTCACAGTTGCCTGACGTGCTATCTGCCATGGATAGGAGCAACGTTAGATTACTTTTGGCATTCCTGGAAGAGCTGCACGTGGTGGACCATCGCTTTGGGGCTCGTGGAAGAAGCACTGAGTGGTGGGATCGTATCGTCATGCAGGTCTGGGATGATGAGCCGTGGCTACAGTATTTTTGGAGGAGGAAAGCCACCTTCCCGGAACTGTGTGCGGAGCTCGCCCCAGCACTGAGGCGCAAGGACACCCAAATGAGAGCTGCCCTCTCGGTGGAGAAGCACATGGCGATCGCAGTGTGGAAGCTGGTGACTCCAGATGTCTGCCGGTCGGTCGCGAATCAGTTTGGAGTCGGGAGGTGAGCTCCCGGGGTTCGCGGGCTCAGCAGCGTTGCTAGGGCGACGTCAGAACCGGACCCTCCCCGGCCGCCCCGTGCCAGTAGTCGCTGATCGCTCCGCATGCAGGGCGCTGGCCCAGAGCCGGCGGGAGACTCCATTTCCCAGCAGGCCCCGCGGTCGGAGAAGCAGGGGGGGGCGCAGGCTGGCGGCCCGCAGTGCGGCCGGCAGTGATGGGGGGAGGGTGGGCATAGCCGGAGGAGCGGCGGGGGGGCGCAGCTGGAGGAGCACGGGGAGCGCAGCATGGCGGCCGGCAGCCGCGGGCAGAGGCGTGAGGGGCTGGGCACGGGGGTGGCATGGCAGGGCCGGAGGAGCCATGTGGGGGAGGGGCGGGGTGGTCAGAGGAGGAGCCAAGGGGGCCGTGGCCAGAGGAGCGAAGGGGGGCTCCTTTTTTATGTTTGCTCCCCCTCCTCTTAGAAGCTGGCTACAGCACTGCCAGGGCGCAGCACCCAGGGCAGGGGGAGGGTCTGGGGCTCCCCAGAGTGGCCCAGACGCCCCGGCAACTCCAGCTTCTGCCCAGGGGGCGGGGCCTCGGGGAAAAGGTAGGAGTAGGGGCGGGGCCTTGGGGAAGACACTGAGAAGGGGGCGTGGCCTTGGTAAAAGGGGAGGAGCAGGGTTGGGGCGGGGCCCCATGACGGGGAGGGGGGCGGTTGCTCCCGGGGTTCGCGGGCTCAGCAGCGTTGCCCGGGCGACGTCAGAACCGGACCCTCCCCGGCCGCCCCCCGCCAGTAGTCGCTGATCGCTGCGCATGCGCGGCGCCCGCCCAGAGCCGGCGGGAGACTCCATTTCCCAGCAGGCCCCGCGCGCCGCCGAGCGGCAGTTTCCGGGCAGGCGCAGCTCGCGCTGAGGAGAGGGGGCGTTTACCCGCCCCCAGCCCTGCGCGCGCGGCAGAGCCGGGCCCGGGGACCGACAGCGGGTGAGTGCGGGGGTGGGGCGGGGATCCTCCCCCCTCCCCTCGTGGAGCCTGTTCTGCCCCCCCGTCACCGCGTGTAGGCGGGCCCCGCCCCTGCCCTCTAGTGCGCGTGCCCCCGGGACCCCTCTGCTCCCGCCCCGGCCCCCCGCGGCCCGAGCCCGTGTCCGTTACCTGCTCTCACCCCCCCGTCCCCGCCTGTTATCTCCGTTACCGGCCCCGTGCCCCTCCCCCCCACCCCGTTATCCCG